CTGCTATGAGGTTTGTTCTTTTGTGTAAAGTTTTGTCCTGTCTGATTCTGTTAACTACTATGTCTATGGTTTTTTGGGTTGGTGTGTTTGTGAACAGGGATGTGACGTCATGTGAGATGAGTATGTCGTTGTCTTCTATTGTAATCTCCTTTAGTTCTTTTGCCAGTTCTATACTATTTTTGCAGTGTTGATCTGTGTTTCCTAATAACGGGCTGATGATTTTGCTGATTTATTTTGCCATGTTGTATGTTGGTGTACCTATGCTGTCAACTATTGGTCTAAGTGGTGTTTTGTTTGTGTATTTTTGGCGTTCCATAGATTCTTGGTGTTATGTTTGCTGTAGGAATCCAGTGTTTGTACATTTTTTCTGTTATTTTGCCTTTTTCTTGTAATGGCTTCAGTAATTTTTTCACATTTTTCTTAATGTTTTCTGTTGGGTCTTTTTTAAGTATTTTGTATGTATTTTAGTTCTCTAACATCAGTTTCATCTGTTGTTTATATTTTCTTTGTCCATAACTACTGAAGTTCGTCCTTTGTCTGCCGGTAGAATAATTATCTGTTCGTTTTTGGATAAAGCTGTCATGGCTGATTGTTCTTCTTTTGTAATATTGCTGTGTTGAATTTGGCTGTTTTTAATATCCCAACTACGTTATTTCTAAGTTCTGCTTTCTTTCCCTCATCTGTGATCTGTTGACATGCTAGTTCTGTTGCTACGATAAATTCATCATATGGTATTTTCTTTGGTGTTACCGCAAAGTTTAAACCTTTCTTTAATGCTCTTTTCTGCTTCTGTTTGTTCGTATTGTGAAAGGTTACATACCCATGAGCTTAGTGTGGTGTTATCTTGAATTTTTCTCTTTTTCTTGTTGATGAGTTTGTTTAACTTCTTTATGTGTCTTTCTTTTACTTTTATGAACTCTTTTTCCAGTTGTTCCATCATGTGTCCTTTAATTAGTTCCTCCGTTTGTTCATCTAGTTTGTAATTCCTTTTTAAGTCCAGGTGTCTTCTTTCCAGTTCGTTTTCCACTTGCTTCTTTTTGGTTGTGACGTTTCTTATCCTTTCTTTGAGCAGTGCTCTCTGTGCTCTTTCCATTATGTTCTGTGTTGTCTTGGTTCGGATCGGTGTTTTCAGCTGTAGCCTTGTGGGTGTGATGTTTTCGTCCCGGCATCTTAAATTGAAGCGAAGGTGGTTCCTTAGACGTGCGCGTTTTAGATGTAATCGTTCCAAAGTCTTTTGTCCTTGTTGTCCGTATTTTTCTTTAAACATCTTTGGTTCGTTCTTGCTGTGTCTAGTTTCTAATTCCATTTTTGGTTCTTTTTAAAACACAGGAAAGGTTTCTTTTATACCTTGCTGGTGACAGTTTCGTTCGCGGCTGCGAACTTCCTCGTAGCTGACGCAGCGCGGGCAGCAGAGGACGTTGTCGCCCTCTGCTGCCCACGAATAAACGGAGTAGGAAGTGACGCCACCATCAGTGTCAGCTCTGAGGAAGTTCGCTGCTGCGAACGAAACTGTCAGCAGCAAGGTTTTGGGTAATTTTTACTTTTCCATAACCCTTGAACCTGAAATAAACACACACACAAAAGAGGATTTCATTGTACCCTGAGTCCCCAAAATAATCCAGAGTCGACACAGGGGAAACCCCCTCCGAGGCTGGCCCCACGTCACTCCCCTGAGTCCTCAGTTTCCCAGGGGTTTTATTGACCAACAGGACGGAGAAGGCGGGCCTTCTCAAGTTACATACAGGTACACCCATCTTCTAGGGTTACCATGGTTACCACATTCCAGGGATCCGGCCTCAGGCATTACAAAGTTCACAGGAGCATGTCACTCCACACAGACAAAGATTCACAGACCAAGCAACATGAACATTTAATAAAAATACCTAACACAAGGTATAAAAGAAACCTTTTCTGTGTTTTAAAAAATAACCAACAATGCAGTTAGTGTGTATATGTTTTGCTCAATTTGAATCTTTGAAGTATTTCTGGGTTTCTTGTTTTTCACTTTTTAATCTTATTTACTCTTTATTCTTTATTTTTTTACTCTCCTCTTTGCTCCTGTTGTGACTTCAACTGCTGCTGTGACTAACATTTCCCCACTGAGGGACAGTAAGAGAATATTCTATTCTGTAATGATCTTACTGTCTGAATGAGGCCTTAAATGGCCCTCCTGTATTGGGTGTCCTGGCTCAGAGTGGGAAAAGATGAGGAGCTCCCCATAAGGAAGAGGCGCTGCAGTGTTTCCAGGGAGAAGGAGGTCCTAATTACCCTCCTCATCCTGGGTCGGGGTGGAAAATGGACTAGAAGCATCAATCAGCTGACCGATTCACGTCAGATCTCCCATACCTAGTTAGTTTAATGTAAAAAACAACCAGCATGTGTAACCAAACATTAGCCAATCTTCTGAGGTTGTCCACAAACTTTCTGTATGAAGAAAAGCATCGCCTCTGATGCCAACGAAGCAGGCAGAGATGTTCTCCAACACAAGCACGGAGGAGCATTTATCCAAGTCCACAGGAGATGCGATTAAGAGGTGAAACTGGAAGTCTAATGATATTACGCTGCATCAGGCAGAGATCTTCACGAGGACCTTATGATGTCATCAGAGTAAATGAGTCTCGTTGAAAGAAGTCTGCATCAGTTCATCTGCTGCTGCTACCTAATGATGCATGAAATCAAAAAATATCTGTTTCAGCGAGCGCTCACGTATGCATGTGTTTTGTGCCTGGTTACCATGGCAACAAACAATCCATCCTGGTATCAAAGTGTGTAGGAGGGCAACAGGAGGGGGTCTCTGTTAGGCGTGTTTAGATGCCTGCATCTAAACACCGATGTAGGTGTGAGATCTGTGTGTGATATTTTTATCTGTGTGTGTGTGTGTGTGTGTGTGTGTGTGTGTGTGTGTGTGTGTGTGTGTGTGTTTGTGTGTGACAACAGGATGTACAGACGAACTTCCAACATGGCTGGACTGAACTACCCCCCCACAGCTCTGGCAGCTCTGAAGGTAAAGCTGCACACAAACCCCGGCCACAAAAGTCTGAGACGGTTTAAACTTTCCTGACGTCGAGGTTATGGACCGGTAAGGAAAAGACTGGTAGGAAGAAAAAAGCAAACGGAGACATAAAAGAGAGATGGAAAGGAAACGCAACAATCTGATAAAAGGAGGAGAACAGCAAAGAAAGGAAAGGAGTTCAGTGTTAGCGAGAACAAGAGGAAGATGGACAAAGAGAGAGGTGAGAGAAAAGAAAAGAATAGGAGAGGGTGGAGATGGAGGAAGCTGAGATAAAGATAAACGTGGGAATAAAATAAACTAAAAAGAGAAAAGTAAGAAAAAGAAAGCAAGAGTTGCTGATGTAAAGGATGGAGCGCTGCATAAGGCAGGAATCTGGGAGGTGGTGGAGGAGGGGGTAGGTCATGATGGATGCTCTGTCCACGGAGCTTCCTGTCTCAGACTAGTATCATATTACTCATGAAGGGACCGACTTCAGATGTAAATATTCATTAGGACATGTTAACTATTATTAATGTAAGCGCTGCTGCATCTCATGAGGATGCTGCCCCCTGCTGGTAGCTCTAACACTGAACGTCATTTTCTGTTGCAGGAAGTGGATCAGTGGTCCTTTGATGTTTTTGCCTTCCATGAGGCCACAGGAGAACACGCCCTCAAGTTCTTAGTGTATGACCTGCTGACCCGCTATGACCTCATCAACAGGTTCAGGGTACACATGCTTTGAGTTGTTAGCAGCTGTGAATGCAGTGGATGAAGGTTTCTTTCAAGAACATGAAATCAAACAGGAAATGTTAACATGAGCTCAGCAGGTTAATCATCAAAGTCGAGAAGACTGTTATTGCCTGTTCTGTATGTTATTACTACTAAGAATGATTTTAAATGTTAAACAGAGAAGAAAAGACTTGAGAATAAAGAAGCATTGAAACAACAATGAAACCAGATAAAATAAACAGACTTTTAAAAAATTTGGAAATAAAAACAAAGAAAAGCAGCATCTAGCAGCACAACGAGCACACCTGCACCAACGCTCCAGCACCAGTACAGGTGAGGGGTGTGTTTGGAGGCTTTTTAGATCCTTTACCTTTCATTTTAATACCAGTGATCCTATAAAAGTTCTCACGTTCATACAGAATCCTGACATCTGCAGGAAAGCTCAGAAACAGCTGTTACAGTGCTAGCATTAGCTTTGGTACGTGATAAACTCCTGATGACTTCACATGAATTTTATTCTGATAGACCCCCATCACCCACCAGTCCACTCACCAGCTGTCACTCCATCTCTGAGCTCACCTGCAGCTTCCACCTACCTGCTTGTTGCTCCTCAGCACTCATGATCAGTCCCTCTGAAACATGAATGCAAAGGCAGCAGTGTGACCTGTAGCTGTTTACTTACTGATCTACACTTATTTATTATGCTGATATTTTATCATTAATAATCTTCATTTCTTCTTCTGTCTTCAAGTAAAGATTGTAATCCCAGCTTGAGCTCAGATGATGGATTACTGGTATTGAACAGATGCAGATGAACAGTCCTGCAGTAAATACCAACGCTGTAAAGGTTCTGATGTTCAGTCGTCCTAATCCAGCACCGGTTATCCTGGAGGACACATGGTGTTACCATGGTGATGCTGAGAGTGTAACATGCTCCAGCAGGTCACTGAAGCCAGCATCAGGTGGTTTCACTGAAAAATATAAAACTCATGTTCATGATCACATTTGACTTTACTGATGCTGCTTCCTGTCACATGACCTACATCTGTAACTATACTAGCAGCGGCGTATCAGAATCAAACCAGCTTTTCTCTAGTTGAGATGGTTTAGTAACGAGTTAGTGCGAGTTACAGAGCTGCAGGGACTTACTTAACCCTTTAGGTACCAAAGTTGCAAAATTGTGACAAGCGTCATTGCTAGGTTTAATGAGCCAAGGCTGTTAGTATGATCCCTTGTGAAGTTATAACTTTACACCAGAGGATAGTGGAGATGTGTAAGTTCACTGTTAGCAACACTTTAGGGTATGTTTCAATTTGAAATTTTCAGAGTTTTATGGACTTTGAAAACCACCTCCAGTCGGGAGGGTCCCAGTGGAGGAGAGCAGGAGATGAGCGGAGCACACAGATGGCGATTATAGAGGAAATACTTGCAATGCTGACAACGTTCTTTGACTGGTAACTCTGATTCTGAAGAGGATTGTTCACCCTGTGATGAAGAGTTTCACTCGTCCAGGGAGAAAGTGACGTTGCAGATGTGCGCAGCAGCAGAGTCTGTGTGCTTCATTTTCAAGCTACAACCTTTTGAAATTGTTGACAGAATTTAATATTTTCTCAAAGGGTTAAAGCCTCCTCTTTACACACGGAGAATTTACACAATTCTAAACATAGATTTAAAAATGCACAGAATAAAGCTGAATCCGACAGAAATAGGCCCGTTCAAACTCACTAAAGCAGGCCTCTAACAATAAACTAACCAGTAAAAACTATGACCAGCCGGTTAGCACGATAAATGAACTGAAACGAGCTACATGAAAAATCATTGTTGACTTACTTCAGTTCGAAGCAGTGAGCTAAAGCTTTGCAAAGTCAAAATGTTTAAATTTCAACAACTTACCGGAGGAACAAATTTCTGAAACACAGAACATGGTTCAGTGGTGGAACTATTGGTGTCTAAAACTATCAGGAGCTCCATGGCCAACATTACTCCCGCATTCAATTCTTTCTATTGAAGCCTATGGGAATGTCCAAACTCTGTATTTCAAAGGTTCCGTTACTTCCAATTGAAAACTTTCCAGTAGGGTGAACGGACTGCCTGTACATTGATCCATTCTTAGACCAGGGATTCAGGAGAAGAAGCAATGCATGTCTAACACTGGTGATGGCAAAGACCCCAGACTATTGGCTTACAGGAAAACCAAGAGATATGTCCAGAGAAGCTGTCCAGACTGGCGATTGTAGGTAATTTTAATATTCACATTGATGATCCCTCAGACCACTTAGCCATGACCTTCTCCAGCCTCATGGACTCCTTCAGCTTTACCCAGCATGTTTCTGGCCCCACACACACCAGGGGACATGCTCTAGACCTTGTTTTTACCCTGAGTCTAAATGCTGACAGTGTTTGTCCTGAGGACGTTTATATTTCTAATCACCATTGCGTTTTCTTTAGCTTGTCAGTTTCTGCGTTCCCACCTCCTGCTTGCCGTCTGGTTAGTTCTTGTTTTCTTAATGAGAGCACAGCTGGCACATTTTCTTCTGCTTTGATCCACCCTGGTGTAATGGTGGCCTGAAATATAAACGTCCTCAGGACAAACACTGTCAGCATTTAGACTCAGGGTAAAATCAAGGTCTAGAGTGTGCCCCCTGTGTGGGGCCAGAAACATGCTGGGTAAAGCTGAAGGAGTCCATAAGGCTGGAGAAATTCATGGCAAAGTGATCAGAGGGATCATCAACGTGGATGTTAAAGTCACCAACAATCACCAGTCTGGACAGCTTCACAGTGGAGGATAGAAAGTCACTAAACTCCTGAAGGAAAGAACCGTTTGGACCAGGTGGACGATAGACCACAGCACAGTAGAACGGGTCCTTACGCCCGACTTTAATCAGCTGCAGTTCAAAGGAAGCAAAGTGACCAGAGGTTGTAGAGCTACATGGAAACTAGAAGATCACGCCGATGTTAACTAGATAAACCACACTTTAAGAGAAGTCTTATTCTCACCTGGATTTCTGCTCGTTTACCTCTTTTCCTCCGACGTTTTCCCGGTACCGGATAAACATCACTGGAGGCACCCTGGTTGGAATTGTCGATTGGCTCCGGGCCAGTGCGCCACTCAGGTAAACAAACAGGGAGGTATGTCCTCGGTGCATCTTGGGCAATCGTGAACGAACGGAAGGACAAAAGAGTCTGGCAATAATAGGAGATGGTAGCAGGGACACTACTGAAGAGGATTGCAGACAGGAGCAAGGTGAAAAAGAGGAGGTTAGTGGAGAAAAGTTTGAAAAAGTGGCCGATGACTGCGGCTAAGCCAAGCACAGGCGCAGTCTTGTGTTTGGCGGACATCTCTGCACCTTCGGAACTACAGATTACATCCTGCCCCCATCCACTCGACTGGTAGTCCTCCAAAGCAACCTGGAACAGGAAGTCCAGCTTTGCCATTCTCTTTTGCTTACACAAGTTAAGCTTAACTAGTCAATGACTGCAGATAAAATGATGATTTGGTGTCTTGTTGACGATATTCAATTCAATTCAATTCAAGTTTATTTATGTAGCGCCAAATCACGACAAGAGTTGTCTCAAGGACCTTCACACAGTAAACATTCCAATACAGGTCAGTTCATGAAGCCAATCAGAAAAAAGTTTCCTATATAAGGAACCCAGCAGGTTGCATCGAGTCACTGACTAGAGTCAGTGTCTCAACAGCAATCCTCATATTAAGCAATCATGCAGCGACAGTGGAGAGGAGTGGCAGTGTTCAAGTCATATTATATTAAAATAAGGTTGAAGATATATCCTTGTTCTCGACCTCTTGATCAGCTGATCTGTGTCTATTCTGCCTCGGCCCCACAATGCCTTGATGCAGCCCTGGGTGTGGGAGTGAGTTTTGAAGGAGATCTGAATTGTAATAAAAATATAAATATTACATGCTTATAAATGATTCCTTTATAAAGGTAACATGTTTAGTGGGATAAATCTACCTGCATTTCCCTTTTCAAGCTCTTTGTTTTGTTTTCTTGTTTTTTATTTGACTATTTTGCTGTCCTGTCTCTCTTCTTGCTGTTCAAACCCTGTGTGCCGGGTTCATCCCCGGCAATGAATATGTGTGTTTTCACTTAAACATATTTGCCAAATGATTTGTGCAATAATCAGGTTTTTATTTTACTTCCACAAAAGTCAAATTCTGGGTTTGACGTTACAGAAAATGGGGACGGCTTGCCATCAGATTTAAGTGCCATCACTCATTATTTGAAACTAACATTATTTGCTTGAATGAATGAGACCACGATGTGAACGCAAGCAGGGACAGCAGTCATGAAGCACCTGTTTATATACAGTACAGTGCATCACCACTGTGATTGCTTGGCTGGTTGTCATGCTTCATTTCCACCAGTAGATGTCGCTATACTAACACCACTCCTGTCTTCAGATCCCAGTTCAGGCCCTGGTGCAGTTTGTTGAGGCTCTGGAGAGCGGCTACAGTAAACACAGGAACCCCTACCACAACCTGATCCACGCCGCTGATGTCACTCAGACCGCCCACTTCCTGATGCTACACACTGGACTGATGGTACCAGACACACACACACACACACACACACACACACACACACACACACACACACACACACACACACACACACACACACACACACACACACACACACACACACACACACACACACACACACACACACACACACACACACACACACATTGTGAGACCTATCAGTCCCTTTAAACACAAACTAACAGAATAATGTGACTTTGGTCTCTAAAGCGATGGTGCAAAGCGATCTGATCAGATGTGTGTGTGTGTGTGTGTGTGTGTGTGTGTGTGTGTGTGTGTGTGTGTGTGTGTAGCACTGGCTCAGTGAACTGGAGATCCTAGCAATGGTTTTTGCTGCAGCGATCCATGACTTTGAGCACACAGGAACCACCAACAACTTCCACATCCACACCAGGTCAGAAGAGCCTTTATTATAACACAGATGTAATATATTATTACTTCTGCTGCCTTCAGCCCAATAAAGAAAGACAAAGGGGGAGGGCGACGGATTCCTGCTGACCTCTGATTGGGCACTGGATCTGTCTCTCAGGTCAGAAGTGGCTATTTTGTACAATGACAGGTCGGTGTTGGAGAACCACCATGTCAGCGCCGCCTATAAGCTGATGGCAGAGGAGGACATGAACATCCTGGTTAACCTGAACAAAGACGACTGGAGGTATGATGTTTATTGTGTGTGTGTTGAAACTATCTGCAACGTTTAGCTGCCTCACCTGCTGCATGGACCAGTGGTATCTGCTCCTGGGAGAAAAGCTGGAGCACAAGTTCTAGCCTGGACTGTTTCATACTTTAAAGAGCAAGTCACCCCCAAATAAACTTTTTTTTGCTGATAAACTAAATAAACGAGTGTCTAATCGTGCTGCAGACACGTGTAGTCAATAATTTGGCACTTCAGTGCATCTTAGTTAAAATTTAAACATTCTGCCTAAAACTGTCGGTGTTGTGCCGTTGTCAGGTAAAAACTCTGCACTGTATTTTAATTTAAATCTGCCACCGCTATTGGCTAAGAGGTATGCTATGATGTAAACTGGTACATTATGATGTCACAATGCTGTCGTGAGCCTGTATGTGTGTGTATTTGTTAGCAGCTCCGCCCTCTCGGTCTGCCAGGCAACAGCATTTGTTGCATTTTTCAAACATGAAGTGAGTGGAGTTAAGCCTGGTTTATGCTTCTCCGTCAGCTCCGCAAGGGACAGACACGCATGGATTGACGGAAGCGTTTTGCTCTTTTACTTCTCCGTCTCCTGGAGAGTGTTGCAAAGCAATTGCCCGGCAGGACAACAGAGGGCGTAGCGCTGTTCTGTGGTATCCTGTCATGTATCGGTCCAAGATCGTGTGTTTATATTGTGTTTTTGTATGTATAAGAGGCTTTTAACACGGACATATTTGTCTCTCATTCTCCCACCGCTTCATGCGCTCCCCACCTCTAAACCCATGTTTCCTGTCATTTCCGTCCACAAATAAAACACTTACTGCGCATCTTTTCACTCCTCCAGTCACGGGAGAATTAAACGTTCACATTTTTAGAGTTTTTTCGCGAGGTATTCTTCAAGCTTCTCCGTGTCTGCCGCTAGTTAAACTCTGCTCTCTTTGCAATGGCGGCGCTGTAAACAACAGCGGCGTCCTGACCAATCACAAGCTTGCGTAATCCGTCTCGTTCGACGGATGTTTAAAAAAGTGGGCTTGACTCCGTACGTAATTGCGCGCCTGCCGGAGCCCTACGCAAGAACGGATAATGGCGTTGCGTGTCTCCGCACTGACGCAGACGGAGAAGCATAAATCAGGCTTTAGACTCTGGTAGGGGGTGACTTGCTCTTTAAGTCACTGATCCATGAGGAGCTGATGGTTCCCATGCAGTCAGCAACAAACCCAGAGAGAACCACCCCAGAGTTCTGGTTTCCTCAAAGTGTTCTGCTTTAGTGTTTCTAGGTGTATCAGTCAGCTGTTTCCATGGTTACCATTTTTTAATTACGGCATTCTAGATGTTTCAAAGGTTTTTGTTGACTTAAAGAGTCTGTATCTCCAGCGTCGATCCACATCCTGACTAATGGAGCTCCTTCTTCATCATCATTGCTGTGTTTGTGCTTGTTCTCCTGCCTCTGGAGGATGGACTACGGGTTCTCAGTAAGATTAAGATGTTTCTTGGACTTGGACCAAGCATTTTCAGTTCCTGATTAACTTCTACCCTTCTGGTCCGGTGCTCCTTCAAGCTTGACGAGACATTGTTCACCACCAAATAGAAGAATAAACCATTTTTAGCGCATCTCAAGATAATAATCACGAGGTGCTTCACAAGAATAATAAAATAAAAGTAAAATGAATACAAATTAATTCAATAAATCACAATTAAAAAATGGGGAAAAAATGGAAAATTTTTGATAAAAAATGTGAATAATCGCTGGATCCCGAAAAAGATAAAAATGAAAGAAACAGCAGCCTGAAGAGAAGCTGAGGATGAACAGAAGGTCCCAGCAAAGCCTGAACTGGTGAGTTTAAAGGAGACCACTGAGTCCACTGATCTCAGGGGGAGAGAGGTCCAGACCAGTAGGCTTTGATCACTGGACCTCAGGGACCTGCTGGGGGTGTAGGGACTAAGAAGATCACCAATGTAAGATGGTGCTTGTCCATGTAAGGCCCTATAGACCAGAACCAGGATCTTGAAATGAACCCTGATGTTGACCCCTAGGGGTATGGCAGGGACAGGACAAATGCACTATAATTCATTTATTTGGTTTCTAACCAATAAAATCAATAACAATAATTTCAACATTAACCCTCATATGTTCTGGTGCACATGACCTTATAACACCACCAAGAGTGCTCCGCAGCACCAGCTAACCTATAATTACACTTTACCGGTTTCCACCTTCACAGGTTGTAAAAATCACTTCCCAAAATGTCTGGAATTTGGACATTCCTGTTCGTCTCCTCCAAACTCTTCCATAACTTATCACCACAAACTGAAACAACGTGTTTTAGGTTGTTCTAACCAAGCTGACCAAGAGAGTCTCTGACTTTGGGAACCAGCTTGTCTGGAGCACAGATGAGGATCTCAGTCTTATCTTCATTCAGCTGTAGAAAGCTCCCACCATTCAGGTTTTGATAGAGTCTAAGCAGGTGTGTAACAGCTGCAGCTTAGACATCTCATGGGGCTTAAAGGAGATGTACAGTTGGATGTCATCTGCATAAAGATGGTAGGAGATTCCTTTAAAGGAGTCATCACCTCTTACTACCATCAACATCTACATCATTATAGTCTCTTAGGTCATTAAAAACATGCTTTCTGACCCTTTTTTTGTAAAGGACTATTTTCTGGCAAGACCATACATGATATTTCAGCTGTGTCCTTTTTTCCCTATTAATAGCTATCTTTCTGTGGTACACGAGGCTTGGCTACTAGCATCTAGTGCTAAGTGGAGGTAGCTTGTCCGAATCCCTGTTCCGCGTACGAAGTTCTATCACCTAAGGGTTTACGTTATGTCTGTAAATACTGTTCATGCCTCGCTCTGTAAGGTTTCCTGTAAATCCCCTTGTTTAGCAGGGTTCCTACTTCAGCTGTCTTGGTGTTGTTGGCAGTTGTGTGCATGAGCCCAGTGTCCCAGCATTCACACCCAGTAGAGTATTAAGACTTCTGCCTTACCATTTGAATTACAGGCCCAGTTTCTCTGTGTTGGAGTGGGCCCTCTTTCTACACAAATCCTAGATGCCATCTTTGCCTTATATTGCCCCACATTTATAAAGCACTCTGGCTTAAAATCATTAGCACAGACACTAAGACCAGTGGGGAGGGTTTCGGGAACAGCCCCATTAAAATAAAATTACTCCACCGGTCCTTGGTAGCTTGGTCTGACTTTGGTAGAACAAAAACATTTATGTTCTCTCCATTTCAGTAATGGTGGCCCTGGAATGCATTTGAGGGGGAGAGGGGCAGTGCACGCTGTAGCAATGTTTTTCTGTGCTGTCCACATAGGCTTATACCCTGCCTTTGTAAAGGCATCTAGCCTGAGAACTCAAAATATTGTTTCATTATTTTTTGGTGCGCATGCTCTTGGGCTAGTTGAAGAAGCCAAGAGTAAACAAACGATCTAATGTGAAACTTCGGCTTCTTGCCAGTGAAAAACCATTAGGAATCCATTATATACATTTGTTCAAGTGGAAAAGTAAAAATTTCAGGTGACGATTCCTTTAAAAAAGCTCAGCATGCGCTGAAGAGGAAAGAGAGAAGGAACACTCAAACACAGAGGAGAACCACTCCAGAGCAGTTCCTGATAAGCCTACCCAGACCCTTGGAGATCCAAAGTTGGGACACTCCCAGAGGCTTCAACGTGGAAGTAACGTTGACCATGGAGCTTCAGACAGTTCCACCAATGAGCGCTGTTCATTCTCGTGTTTCAGAGCTTTTTCCTGCGGTAAGTCGATGAAATGACAACATTTGGGTGTTGTGAAGCGTTAGCTCACTGTCTCCAATCAACAGTCGTGATTTTTCTTGAAGCCAGCTTTAGTTCTTTTATCGTACTAACCAGCTGGTGGTAGTTTTAACTGCAGCTAGCTTATTGTTAGCGGCCTGTTTTAGTGGGTTAAACCACTCTATTTCTGTCTGATTCAGCTTTTAACTCATTCAGAGCAGTTTTAAATATTTTTCTTTAGAGCTGTGTAAACTATTCAGAGATGTTTGAGTTCAAAATAAATTCTATTAAGACACAATAATGTCTGTGTGTAAAGATCAGAGTGGTAGAGGAGCAGCAGCTCTGTAACTCGCTCTAACTCGATACTAAACCATCTCAACTAGAGAAAAGCTGGTTTGATTCTGAGACGCCGCTGCTAGTTTAGTTACAGAAGTAGGTCATGTGACAGGAAGCAGCATCAGTAAAGTCAAATGTGATCATGAACATGAGTTTTTACATTTTTCAGTGAAACCACCTGATGCTGGCTTCAGCGACCTGCTGGAGCATGTTACACTCTAAGCATCACCATGGTAACACCATGCGTCCGATAACCGGTGCTGGATCAGGACGTCTGAACATCAGAACCTTTACATCTGTCTCATGCAGTCCTATATGTGTAACACACACACACACACACACACACACACACACACACACACACACACACACACACACACACACACACACACACACACACACACACACACACACACACACACACACAAGGGATGTGAGTGGATGGGGTGAGAGAAACCTGAAAAGCTTGAGCATTTTCACCAATTTCACTAATTTACGTGTGTTTCTTGGCCCTGTGGGGCATGTTTTTTTTATTGTCCTCACAATTTACTCACTGTAAGCTGCCATTTGCCGTCAGTATCTCCACTGGTGCATGTGCAGCGCTGACTTCCTTTCGGTTTCCTCTGTTGGTGCCGCCATTTTAAACGTTGTCGCGCATCAATCCTGCCCTTTTCTGCCCTCTTCTCAGGAGCACCAGAGCCTTCTCCACAGAGATCCACAAACAAAGCCAGCCTATAGAGAACTCTGCAGATGTGTGAAGTGAACCTGGTCTTTCAGTACATAATGTTGGAATGTACCACAACCTCTCCGGGACCCTTTCACAATAAAGAGAGAGAGCACCATCTAAAAATAAAATGTCCAAATAAAATGTGACTAAGTCACATGATGTGGAAGATATTGAAAATACACAGATTGACATTAATAAAACTGTTAATAACTATATGTATAATCTAACAGAACGACCCGGGGGTGCTGGTTTCTTTTCTGTGGTCTGTCAGTGAGCAGCTGTGAGCGGCAGCAACACCTACAGATGATCAGACCTGCTGCATCAGCGTCACAACCTGCTGAAACATTAGAAACCAGGATGAACATCGGTCAGAGTTACTACCTAAAACTATCTTCAGCGTAGTTTCTTCTTGCTGTTCATGGTGATGATGTAGATGTTTCAAAAACTTCTACATCTCCATATCTGTTCTGTCTCCTGTTTAGAACATCTGAGAACATAGACATTAGATTTTCAAACACTCAGGTTTATGTGAACCTGAGAGAATCAGCACCCGTGTCATCGACGAGCGGTTGTTTATTTCTAATGTTATTATTTATGTTGTCGTTTACAGCTAGCTCAACATGTTCTTGTATTGCATGTTCGCTGTCTCTATGTAACCAGTGAGTTTTGCTCTCCTTAATTAAATCTGCTGCTCAGTCTTCACTTACAGGGTTTATTAATGTTTATTAATAAGTATTGTCCTTTATGCAGTATGAGAATAACCATTAGCAATGCTACTGTGCTCTTATTCACTGTCATTTTATTAAACATGGTATTTCTTAATCCTCAATATTAATTAATTATGTATTTAACTGTCTATTATCTCAGTAATGGAAAATAGTAGAGTGAGGTGGGCTAAATAAATTGCTTTAAAAGCTATTTATTTCTATTATCATTACTTGTGACCAATAGCTGTAATCCTCTATTAATTATAGAATATCACCTTGCTTGGTCTTAGGATGATTAATTGGAAGGTTCTAGGATTATTTTAATTATTAAGGGATCGTTCACGCCTCGTTTATGATTCAAGAACCAGTCAGGGTTTACAAACAAATAAGAATTTATTTTACATACAAATAAGACTTGACAAATGGTTTAAACTGTTATCCTGTGAGTGGATGGAACTAAAAGATGGGTGTCTGAAAACTATGTGTGAATATGAGATGATGAATCAGAATCTCCGTATCTTCAGAGAGGTGCGTTCTGGATAAAAGAATTTGGTTTGCAGATAAGCTATGAGCTGTTATTTATCAAACTGCATACAGACGCTGTCTGTGTGTCTACATTACCGTAGAGGCACCCTCTTGGATCCGAAAATCAGAGTGGTCGGATGACCGCTGGCACCGAAGGGCTGTAGAGTACCGAGGTGCCGTCCTTTCAGTCCTAGAGATGTGTCTCAGGTCACGACAGATGGATGGAAACCACGCGTCTTAAAATAACTCTGAAGGGGTTTGAGTCAGCTTTGTTCTGCAGGAAAATTATCTTGTTGTTCATCTTCGAAGGTGCAAAAAGCTTTAAGGTTTTGACAGTGTGTCAAAATCTTTCTGAGCTAGAGATCTGCTAAGAGATGGCCAGTCTCCAGCTTTCTCTCCCGACTGACGAGAAAGCAGAGCGGCTGGTTTATATACCCGCTGTTATCTATGACCAAACTTACCAAGAATCTCAGAAACGCACGCTCTGAGACGCAGAGTCTCTGAGTCTAGGGACAAGGTTAGTTATGTGTCATGCAATACTTAATTTTAACCTTACTCTCTGTCTGGTGTAAAGATGACCTCATCCTGTAAACTCTACTAAAACATTGAGTACAGATTAATGAACATTTCATTGCTTAATTATACATGGCAATATGTAATGATTTTTAATCATAAAATCTTCTTTCTTCAGTGATTATTTTGAATTATAAAATGAATACTTTATTTATGAAATCTTCTTTCTTCTGGGAATAAAGATGTATCTAAAACAGTTCTCTTGTGAAGAACCTTGGGGAAAGGAATGCTACTGTTCATCTTTATTATCTGATGAAGCTGTGCTCAGCTGATGAAGTCATCTGATTAAACTGCTGAGTTGTGCAGACTCACAGACTCCCGACAAGGGAGGATACAGCAGACATGTAGTAGTCAGGGTTATTTGCTCTGGTTGCATATGACCTTTGGGATCTTTAAAATCAGTCCGTTTCGTGACATTACACTTAGTCCTTTGGGACAGATTCACCTACAGGTATGTTTGTTACCATTTTACTTTTCTGTAATTTAGTCTGACAGTTTCAGAGTTTCAACTGTTTGTTTTATATTTTAATGTTTAACACTATTTTCAGTCTCTCATCCCTCTGAAGTGGATCTATGCACTTAACACCAGAGTCCATAAAACACTCCTAATGTTCAAAGAAGTTATCACAACACCACCGGTCTTAACTGTCAGGTCAAAGGTCAAAATAAAAATACCAGCACCTGAGAAAATACAAGCCAAGACGGTCCAGTCCCCAGGAACTCCACAGACACATCACCTGAGGAAAGGATCTAGTAACACCTGTACACCTCTCGGTCACATCTCAGAACAGGTCCAGTTCTGTCACGTCCATTATGAGTTCAAACATGAAATTATGTATGACAACAAGCCTAAAACCACCGCTGAATGGTTAGTCTAATGAATAGAAACCGAACAAAAAGAAACACCTAGGGAACTAACCATGACGTCTAATAGTTTATATAGATAGACTTTGTTGTTCATAATCAATCAATCAAAGCTTTATTTATAAAGCGCCTTCCGCGACCCTGTCGGGAAGCCCACGGCGCTGAACATGGTACATGAGAAATGCGAAACATGATGAATAAGTCTAAAATAAAAGCAATTCAAATAGTGCAAAAAAGGTAAAACATTAAAGTAGAAAACAAATATGTGAAATAAGAGATAAAGAGACCAATGAAAACAGGGAATTAAAATCAACATAAGAGAAGGCCTAACTCAAACAAGTTCAGGGAACGCCATGCAGAGGAGGTGGGTTTTTAGGTGACTCTTAAAGGCTGGCAGAGACGGGGACAGCCTAAATGAGGGTGGCAGCTGGTTCCAGAGTGACAGGGCTAGGACTGAGAAAGCCCGGTCCCCGCGAGTACGACACCTAGAACGAGAGACAGCGAGCACAGATAATGGCTCCATTTACAAATAAAAGCAGCTAATTGTCAGTGATTGAGTTGTGATTTTCAAACCAAGGAGCCATTTGGCTACCTCTGGTAGAGCTGATGGGGTCAGAAAATCCTGGTAGCTCTAGTGATAAGGGGATTAAGCTTGGTTTATGCTTGACGCAACTACTTTCCGCTTGGTGATGCGGCTCGCGGATGGAACGCGCTTCACAACTTGCAGCGTTTATGGTTCATGCGGCTTGTCTCTACAGTGAGCCAATATTCTCCCAAACTGTAGGGGGCAGCATGGAGCTCTACGGCATGCATCCAACACTAAACCATAGTAGAAGTAAAAATTACTGTTGTTTACAACATGGCATTCCAGCATTTTTTAACAGCGTCCTCGTCTTTTCCGACAGTGCGAGCTATTTCTCTCCAAGAATTATTAACAACATGTTGATCACATGATCTTTGAGAGTTGAATCATACAAATGTCTGTATTTACGAACCTCTGCCATACTAGTTCTTGCCAGTCCGCCATGTTTTTCCGCATCCGACCATCCGTGTGGTTAGAAAATTTCCTAGGTGCACGGTGCGGAAAGTTTGGGCCGTGCGGAGGAGGGGCGTGGTTGTTAAAATGACGCAATTTTGCCGCGCGGAGCCGTGCGAACCTCGCAGGTGCGTCAAGCATAAACCAACCTTTAGTGTGAGCTGTTGAAGCAGATACGACTACTGTCACCAAAATGATTTACTGAGGACGATTCTCTGTTGAAAATCAGAAACCAGCATTACTCCATCTTCTTTACGAGTACTCCTTAATCCAGCAAAGCTGACAAGGCTTGACCAAATTCATGCACTGTCGCCACTGGCCTAAATTGATAATTGATAATATGATAGCAACCATATATTACTGTGCATTATTTCATTTGAGTAAGCATTACACATCCCAGCCCAATGTTTTGTTTACCAGGGCACAGGGATCGCTATCATCATCTGGGTGATGAAATATTTTTCCTGCATACCCCCTGTAATGCGCTCACGGACCACTAGGGGTACGTGTACCCCTGGTTGGAAATCATTGCACTAACTGATTAACTGACTTGTTAGATGATGGCTCGTCTAATCTGGTCATTTAATTTTGTATCTATGATTGACAGGGAGCTGAGGTCTCTGGTGATAGAGATGGTGATGTCCACAGACATGTCCTGTCACTTCCAGCAGATCAAGACGATGAGGAACACCCTGACACAGACTAACAGGTCAGTACTTCAGAATCAGAAGATTTTTTATTGCTGTTGTCATTGAACGCAGCTCACTGACTAGGAACTTGTTTCGGTGTTGAGGTGCAACATGAACACAAAAAAAAAAAACACATAGTAGGTAATAAATGATGAGTAATATGTGCAATTAGCAGCAGGATAAACAGTGCAAACATACTATTACAGTGACTAGTATGTAATGTGCATGTTAATATCACCGAGTGTTCATGAGACAGACAGCAGAGGAGTAGAAACTGTTTTTGTGACGAGAGGTTTTGGTCCTGATGGATCGTAACCTCTTGCCAGACGGAAACGTCTAGAACAGGGGTGTCAAACTGAGTGGCAGCCAACTTCAGGATGTGATTCAAGTTCTTGTGTGAGCCTTGAGTGCAGCTTTGTTTTATTTATACTCATTACAGAGAAAACTTGCTCACAATGATAAGTTTATTTTCACTCTACATTGTAAAGTATGAAAATAAAGTTTACACAACCATCTCGTGGGCCGGATTTAACCTGCTTGTGGGCCGGATCCGGCCCGCGGGCCGCATGTTTGACACCCCTGGTCTAGAATGAATAAAAACAAGATTTTGTGTCTAATTGAACCTATAAAACATTAAGTTTGTTTATCAGAAATGTACAGTCCACTCTGTCCCTTCTGCATGGACCAGGCTGCATGAAAACTGGAAATTAACCCAGTTTATCTCCGTGAATTCATTTAAAACCAGACTAAGAAACCTAGAGACGGATTCCCTGTGTTGTAACTGCCTTCTGTAACTTAGTACTTAACACGTTTGTGTAACAGAAAAATTTGTAACTTTAGCTGCCTTTAAATTAGGATTTTAATCTCAGTTGGACCTTCCTGGTGAAATAAAGAATAAATAAACAGTTAACATTGTTTACACATATGCATTTAGAACATTTACAACAAACACTGTTGTTTCAGAAGTATGGTAGCAAACATGCCAGCAGTGCATTGTAAACACTTGGTGATAATGAGGTTATTGATTCACAACAAAAGACAACAGACACCTTACCGGTCCAGAGTTTAACTGTTTGTGTCTCGTTTGGTTTGAAGTAAAATAAATAAAAAATCCTCCGACCGTTTAATCCTCATCCTCCGCAGTTCCACGTTACAGCACTGAGCTAACTGCTAACAACATTAGCACTCTACAAGCTATTTGCAGTGAGGACAAGTGAAAACAGTATCAAACTGTTTACCTGCTGTTTTTGTAGCTGCGTTACTAAGCTGTTCAATAAAACGCCATAAAAACCTTCAGTAAACCCTTACCTGTCATGCTGTGAGTATGGGGTAGGTTAGGACCCAAGAGGCAGAATCAAGGAGACACGTTGCAGGGGTTGGAATAAACGTAAAATTCTTTATTAGGAGCGATTGTCCAAAAGTAAATCCAAAAGGCAGGAAGCCAAAACCGAAAATCCAAAAATCCTAGTATGAAAAAAAAACAAAAAAACAAGAGACCTAGAGACAAAGAGCTCACTTAAAGAGCTGACCTGGAGACCTATAGTGACAACGCTGACACAATGGACCAACAACACATTGAAACGCAAACAGGGTTTTATACACGGGGGCAGGATGATTGGGAGATGAGCTGCAGGTGCATGGGAAGAGAGAAACCTGGGTAAATCAATCTACTAATCAGGGAGAGGAAACTAAGCTGAGGAGGGGAAATAAAATATGACCTATGAATAATAACCAAACCTAAAGACTAGAAGAACAAGATAAATAACTAATGATCTAAGGAGGAAAGGAGAACTAATAAACCGGTGGGGAAGGGCCAAGAAGAAAACCTGAACCTAAGAAACTAAAAGAATAAAAACTAAAAACTAAAGAATAAGTGAACATGGGAAAACCTGATGGGAGCTGGAGACCGAAAGGGGCACGGAAACCTAAGGGGAGAACCTGGAGTGGGGCTGGGGAACACAAGGAGGCACATGGAACCTAGAGGGGGGCTGGAGAACACATGAGGGGGACACAGGATGCATACCATGACATTACCTGTGATGAGGTATTCACTGCTAACTGTAGTATTTACTGTTTCTGCTCATCATGCAGCCGGAGATTATGGTCCGCTATTCCATCTTCGTTCAGTATGTTTCAGTAAGTCCTTTGTGGCGCACTACTTTCGGGACACGAAAAAAAAGTTTGTTTTTGCCAGATCGCACAGGATTTGGGTATTTTTACACCCAGTCAACCAAGTAAATAAAGCCTGGGGCAAATTGGACGAGAACGCACCTGTGATTTTGAGAAGTCAAGCGGTCACACACCGCGCGCCGCACCGCTGAGCGCTTCTTGGAAGGTCACGATTGTCACGACCTCACGCGGGACTTGAGAACAGGAAGCAGGGAGGATGGGATGTCTGATTGGCTGGGGACAGGCGAGGAGGATGCTGGGTTTGTTCCTGAACTGAACCTATTGAAGAACTTGTTCAGTTCATTGGCTCTGTCCAGGCTGCCATCTGTGCAATCCTTCCTCTGCTTGAAGCCTGTGATCTTCTTCATCCCTGACCAGACATCTCTGATATTGTTCCTCTGTAGTTTGTTCTCCAGCTTCTTCCTGTATGCCTCCTTGCTGTCTCTGATCTTGATCTTCAGTTGCTTCTGTATACTCCTCAATAATTCCCTGTCTCCCTCCTTGAAGGCTCTTTTTTTCTCATTAAGCAGATTCTTCAGTTCACTGGTGATCCAGGGTTTGTAATTAGCGAAGCATCTCACTGTTCTGGTGGGTATGATGTAGTCCACACAGAAGTTTATATAGTCAGTGACACATCCAGTCATGGCATTGATGTCCTCTTTATATCCTTGGCAGAGAGTCATCCAATCTGTGGTCTCAAAACAACCTTGCAGGGCTTCTTCAGCGTCCTGTGACCATTTTCTCACAGTTCTTCTTGTCACAGGTTGCCTCTGAACAAGTGGTTTGTATTCTGAGCAGAGAAAAACAAGATTGTGATCTGACTGTCCCAGAGGAGGTCTTGTTTTGGACATGCATGCATTCTTTACATTTGCATAACACAAATCCAATGTCTTGTTTTCTCTGGTGGTGCAGCTGACAAACTGATGAAATGTTGGAAGTGTAGCAGAGAGCGAGGCATGATTAAAATCACCAGATGTAGCCACAAATGCATTTGGGTGCTGGGTTTGTAGCTTAGTGACAATGGAAATGATGACATCACATGCATTTCCAGCAATGGCTGAAGGTGGAATATAAACGGTTGCCAAGACAACACTGGTGAACTCTCTTGGCAAATAATATGGGCGACAACTTACTGTCAAGAGTTCAACATCAGAGCTGCAGAGACTTCACTGTAACATGACATGGATGGCACCATCTGTTGTTGACAAGCACTGCCACTCCACCTCCTTTTCTTTTCCCGCTCCTCTTCAGATCTCTGTCTGCTCGTACAGTCAGGAATCCTGGCAGAGAGACGCTGGAATTGGGGATATGGTCCTGCAGCCACGTCTCAGTGAAACACATTACACTACACTGCCGATACTCTGGCTGAGTCCTTGAAAGGGCTTAGAGTTCATCCATCTTGTTGGCCAGTGATCTCACATTTCCCATTATGATTGATGGAAGAGATGGATTGAATTTCCTCTTTCTCTGTCTCTGTTTTGCTCCCGCTCTGCATCCACGCTTCTTGCGTTTTAGCTCATTTGGGATTTGTGGCTTCAGTTGAGGTATTATTTCAGCCTTTCCAATGTTAATCAGCTGCTCCCGATTGTAAACCAGCTTGTAGCCATGGTTACGCATCATAACTAATGCTCAAAAAGTGAAAAAAGGTCCGTGTGCACGTGTGTGGGAGGTCTTGTTTTGTGTGAAAACGAAGCAGTACAAGTGATAATGCTGCAGGATTTCATAATTGTGTCCTTCTCAGCAGCAGCACTGCAGGTGCTCTCCATGTCCAACATGTGCGTAAGCCAGGTCCTTAGTCAACTTAAAGTTTTCTTTCATGAATCGCAAAGTTTGCGTGGAAAGTTGCTTACGCAATTTTCCAACCCCATTTTGTGGGTAAGCAAGCTTGATAAATGAGGTCCCAGGAGTACAGCAGTACTTGAGCTTGCAAACTTCAGATGTTCTGCTGAGATGTTATCTGAGCCTGGTGCCTTGTTGTTAGACATGTGTGCTTTGGCTTGTCGCACCTCACAAGGAGTGATAATCACTGCTTCCCTGCTAGTAACATTTCCTGCCTTGTATGGCTCACCTTTGACACAGTTATACAAGTCAAAGTAGTGTTGTCTCCATAACTGCTATAATATCAGCCCCAGAGACTCCCTTTATGGCACTGGGTAGTGCAGTATTAGTCCTGTTCAGAGTCTTCACCTCATTCCAGAAGCCCCTCACATTATTAGATAAAAGCTTTTCAGCCATAGAGTCCACTCTCAAGTTCTGTTCATGTTTAACAATGAAGCAAATGGCATATTTATACCTTGCTCTGGTAAGCTTTTAATATTCCAGGACCGACCCTGCTCTGGGTCTTCCTGAAGAAGAAGAAGAAGAAGAAGAAGAAGAAGAAGAAGAAGAAGAAGAAGAAGAAGAAGAAGAAGAAGAAGAAGAAGAAGAAGAAGAAGAAGAAGAAGAAGAAGAAGAAGAAGAAGAAGAAGAAGAAGAAGAAGAAGAAGAAGAAGAAGAAGAAAATATAATTTCTATAGCGCCTCTCAAGATAAAAATCACGAGGCGCTTCACAAAACCAAAAAATGTAAAAATATAAAAAAGCATTTAGAAAATGTTTAAAAATATATTTAAAATGAGCAAAAATAGACAATTGTGATTAAAAATGTTAAGAAAGAGAGAGAGAGTGAATAGGAAAGAGGGAAATCTGTGGATCCTGAGGAAGGTGGAATAGGTGGGGAGAGCAGAATAAAGAGAGAGTGGTGAAGAAGGTCACACAAAAGCCAGCTTGAACAAGTGAGTCTTCAGCTGCTTTTTAAAGGAGACCACTGAGTCCACTGATCTCAGGCTCAGGGGAAGAGAGTTCCAGAGTCTGGGGGCCACAGCAGCAAATGATCTGTCACCTTTGACCTTTAGCCTGGTGCGCTGCACAACCAGTAGGCTTTGATCAACGGACCTCAGGGACCTGCTGGGGGTGTAGGGACTAAGAAGATCACCAATGTAAGCTGGTGCTTGTCCATGTAAGGCCCTATAGACCAGAACCAGGATCTTGAAATGAACCCTGAAGTTGACTGGCAGCCAGTGAAGCTGGAGGAGAAGCGGGGTGATGTGGGTGTGTTTGGAGGACTTGGTCAGAAGCTGAGCACAGGTGTTCTGAACCACCTGCAGACGGTTCCTGCTTGGACCTATGCCTGATGTGCTAGCTTAGCTTCTGCTTGATGTGTCGCCACATACTTGTTCCATCCTGGCTTGATGTTTTTAGTCTTCACACGTGTAAAGTATGGGCTACTGCAATCATAAATAGCATCAATAATACCTTCATATGTTGTACAGAGGTCCTTATTGTGAGCTATATCATTACAGTTGAGATCTGTACACATAATTACATGTATGGGTATATGTACATTACTCAAAGTGGTATCAGATTTCAAGCAATATGCCTCAAGATCCTTTAGTGAGAGTTTGGACCATTCCATCCTAACTTTGTAGCCCTTGTTTACTTTTGTAATTACCTCTGGAAGACCTCCCACTTCCAGCTGCATTAAAAGCGGCACATGATCAGACACAGAGTAGATGTACATGATCTGCATGGATTTAAATCCAGCATGGACGTCAGCAGTACTGGTGCAATGATCCAGCCATGACGTGGTGTTCCATGCTTCACTTATATAAGTAAATCTGTCAGGTGGTAGCAATAGCTGGCTATACTCTAAAGATAAATATTTAAAACTGCTCTGAATGAGTTAAAAGCTTAATCAGACAGAAATAGGGTGGTTTAACCCACTAAAACAGGCCGCTAACAATAAGCTAGCTGCAGTTAAAACTACCACCTGCCGGTTAGCACAATAAAATAATTAAAACTGGCTACAACAAAAACCACAACTGACTTATGTTGTTTGGAGACAGTGAGCTAACGCTTCACAACGCCCAAATGTTGTAATTTCATCGACTTACCGAAAGAAAAAAAGCTCTGAAACGTAAGAATGAGCAGCACTCAAAGGTGGAACTGTCTGAAGCTCCATGGCCAATGTTACTTCCATGTTGAAGCCTATGGGAGTGTCCCAACTCTGGATCTCCAAGGGTCTTGTGGAACCGTCTCTATGCTGCATTCATGTCAGCTGGGTTTTATGGTGACTACAGCTCATTGTGCTGTACTGAAACAGGTTTTTTCTGTTCCTTCAGTGTCGACAAAGTGAAGGTTTTGTCTCTGATGCTTCATGCTGCAGACATTAGTCACCCCGCCAAAGCCTGGCCCCTGCACTACCACTGGACTCACAGCCTGATGGAGGAGTTCTTCAGACAGGTGCGTATGTCCACCCTTCTATCTGTGCGAGGATCCTTATCGCTGCTGGAGCGTGTGCACACACACACACACACACACACACACACACACACACACACACACACACACACACACACACACACACACACACACACACACACACACACACACACACACACACACACACACACACAGCAACATGTTTCAGCCTAAGTGTTGCATGTGGCTCCAGGCCAGTCCAGTTGGATTTTGTTTTCAGCTGTTAAAGTGAACAAAGCTAACGTTCTGATGCTAACAGTAGCTGGACAATAACTAGCTTTGTAAACAAAACCGCTATGAAGCCTGATTTTACTTCTCCGTCTGCGTAGGTGCAAAGACACACAACGCTATTATGCATCGGCACAAGGGCTCTCTGACGTGACGGAGACATGCCCCAAATTTAAACATCCGTTGAAAGTGACAGAGAACGCAAGCTTGTGATTGGTCAGGATGCCGCTTTCTGTATATTCGTCACCAGCACCGTTGTAGCTCCATTTAAAAGTAAACAGATATTTAGCGGCAGACGCAGAACAGATTGAAGAACTCATCGCAGAAAAAGTTAGAAATATGAACATTTCTTTGAACATCTTAGGTGTGTTCTTACTGTGTCGTATTTGTAATTCCATGCTGTCGTTCTTTTTTAAAACACAGAACAGTTTTGTTACCCGTTTTCCCGCTACGTTTCGTCTGCGGCTGCAGAATTCCTCAGGCTGACGCTGATGGTGGCGTCACATCCTTCTCCGTTTATCCGCGGGCAGCAGAGGGCGACAACGTCTTCTGCTGCCCGCTCTCCTCTCTCCGACGATGCAGTCCCATGCGTGGTCCAACGTGTAAACTCCATCGTCCCTGTTCATGATCCCACATCCACGTCTCATTATCTCTATAGCTTCTTTTATCCATCTTTTGTATTTTTGTTGTTCTGCGTTTATGATCCTTGTGTTGTCCCAGTCCATTATACGGTTTTCTCTTGTGCAGTGATCTGTTACGGCTGACTTCTTTATTGTGCTTTCTGCTTCTTCTTTTGCTGCTCTTGTGTGTTTTTGACTTGTTTCTTTCTCACACTCCTTTCTATGTTCTATTGTTCATGTGTTGAGTTGGCGTCCGGTTTCTCCTATGTATGTTTGCATGGGATTTCGTAAACGACTCCACATTTAAGTCCAGCTGGTATTTTGTCTTTTGGGTGTACTAGTCTGTTTCTAACTGTTGTGAATGGTTTTGTTGGTGTGTTTATGTTGTTTTTTCGTTGTTGCTCTTATTTTTTCTGTTATGCCTTTGATGTATGGTAGGGTTATCACTGGTTTTGGTTCTTGTCTTTCTGGGTTTCTGGTTCTTTGCTTTGGTTGTTCTTTTCTTTCTGTTTTTGTTTGTTGTTTTCCTTTGTTTATTGCCCATGTCGGGTATCCGCAGGTCTTTAAAGCGTGTTGTATGTGTTTGTCCTCTTGTTTACGGTCTCTTTCTTCTGTTATCATGTTTGCTTGGTGATATAATGCTCTGATTACTGACATTTTGTGTATGGTGAGGTGTTCTGATGTCCATAATAGATATTGGTCTGTGTGTGTTGGTTTCCTGTATGTGTTTATGTTTAGGGTCCCGTCGGTCTGCCTGCTTATTTTCATGTCCATAAATGCTATGCTGCCTTCTGTTTCTGACATAAGTGAACTTTATGCTGCCTGTGTCGTCAATGTTATTCAAGTGTTGTGTTAGTGTTTCTGTTTGTCCTTTTGGTATGATTTCCAGTATGTCGTCTACGTAGCGTTTCCATAGTTTTATTTTGCAGTTTGGGGGGGCAGTGGCTATGGCTTTTTGCTCTAGATCTTCCATGAAAAACTCGCACAGGGTGGCTGATAACGGGTTACCCATGGCGAAGCCTTCCAGTTGTTTGTATATTGTGTTGTCGTATGTGAAGTAAGTGGAGTTAGCTACCAGTCCTATCAGTTGTGCTATGTCATCTACTGTGAGGTTTGTTCTTTTGTGTAAAGTCTTGTCCTGTCTGATTCTGTTAACTACTATGTCTATGGTTTTTTGGGTTGGTGTGTTTGTGAACAGGGATGTGACGTCATGTGAGATGAGTATGTCGTTATCTCCTATTGTAATCTCCTTTAGTTCTTTTGCCAGTTCTATACTATTTTTGCAGTGTTGATCTGTGTTTCCTAATAACGGGCTGATCATTTTGCTGATTTATTTTGCCATGTTGTATGTTGGTGTACTGATGCTGTCTACTATTGGTCTAAGTGGGGTTTTTGTTTGTGTATTTTTGGCGTTCCATATATTCTTGGTGTTATGTTTGCTGTAGGAATCCAGTGTTTGTTCATTTTTTCTGTTATTTTGCCTTTTTCTTGTAGTGGCTTCAGTAATTTTTTCATGTTTTTCCTAATGTTTTCTGTTGGGTCTTTTTAAGTATTTTGTATGTATTTTAGTTCTCTAACATCAGTTTCATCTGTTGTTTATATTTTTTCTCTGTCCATAACTACTGTGGTTCTTCCTTTGTCTGCCGGTAGAATAATTATCTGTTCGCTTTTGGATAAAGCTGTCATGGCTGACTGTTCTTCTTTTGTAATATTGCTGTGTTGAATTTGGCTGTTCTTTAATATCCCAACTACGTTATTTCTAAGTTCTGCATCTTTCTCTCATCTGTGATCTGTTGACATGCTAGTTCTGTTGCTACAATGAATTCATCATATGGTATTTCTTTTGGTGTTACTGCAAAGTTTAAACCTTTCTTTGATATGCTCTCTTCTGCTTCTGTTAGTTCGTATTGTGAAATGTTACATACCCACGAGTTTGGTGTGGAGTTACTTTGTATTTGCCTCTTTTTCTTGTTTATGAGTTTGTTTAACTTCTATATGTGTCTTTATTTTACTTTTGTGAACTCTTTTTCCTGTTTTTCCATGTCCATGTCCTTTAATTTGTTCCTCCATTTGTTTATCGAGCTTGAAATTCCGTTTTAAGTCCAGGTGTCTTCTTTCCAGTTCGTCTTCTACTTGCTTCTGTTTGGTTGTGACGTTTCTTATCCTCTCCTTGAGCAGTGCTCTCTGTGCTCTATTATATTTTGTGCTGTCTTGGTCCGGATCGGTGTTTTCAGCTGTAGGCTTGTGGGTGTGATGTTTTCGTCCCGGTCTCTTAAACAGAAGCGAAGGTGGTTTCTTAGACATGCGCGTTTCTGGTGTAATCGCTCCAAATGGCGGAAGTCCTTCGTCCTTCGATAAACGGAGAAGGAAGTGACGACACCATCAGCGTCAGCCTGAGGAAGTCTGCAGCCGCAGACGAAACGTAGCGGGAAAACAGGTAACAAAACTGTTCTGTGTTTTAAAAAAGAACGACAGCATGGAATATGAACATTTATTCACTCGTGAGTGAGCGAGTACAAAATACGGAGAAAACGTGGACGGAAACGACGGGAAACATGGGTTTAGAGGTGGCGTCTGCATGAAGAGGTGGAGGAGAATGAAGGACAAATTTGTCTGCATTACAAAGTCTCTGAAACATAAAAACACATTAGTAAATACACTATTGGGGACCGGATACACAGTTACCACAGAATAGCGCTACGCCCTCTGTTGGCCTGGTGGGGAACTGCTTTGCAACGCTCAGCCGCCTGAACTGAAGTTCGAATGTGAAAGCGTTTCCGACCCTCCGTGTGTGTCTCTTCATTGTGGAGCTCACAGAGAAGTATGAACCAGGCTCTAGCCTTTAGTCAGTTCTGGTGGTAAAGCTCAGCGTTAAAGGCACGCTCATTAATTCTCTGTGGTTAAACCAAAAGTGAAACGTTCTTTTGGTGAGCTTTTGTCTTTTTAACACTTTGATGTAACTGCTGCAATGTCTCCTCAGGCAGAAAAGGCTAAATGTTTAATACCTGACAAGCATGTGTTTATCAGATCTACGGGGAACAACAAGGAAACCAGCTCATGTTCATGTCTTCCTGTTTCACAATCAGGGAGATAAAGAGGTGGAGCTCGGCCTCCCGTTTTCTCCTCTCTGTGACCGTAAAGCTACCATGATCGCCCAATCACAGATCGGTAAGAAGGGGAGGAGCCAGAGCATTCTGTGGTGTTTGTCATGCTGTACCCCCTCTTCAGTCACTCCAACCCTCTTATTTCAGGCTTCATAGACTTCATTGTTGAGCCAACCTTCACAGTTCTGGTGGACACAACAGAGAAAGTCATTTTTCCACTGATAGAAGAGGAGAGGAAGGCCAAAGAGACCGGGAACAGGAGGTCCAGGTACTGATCCACGGGAGGAGGGACTCTTGATTGGTAACAGCAGCCTCTGGACATTTCTTCACCTCTTCTGTTTCACAGCCTAACAGGAAGTGGCTCAGTCACTGTGGAGTCAGTGCAACGGCACAGCAGCAATCGCCAAGGCAACAGTGATGATGGTCAGATTAACTTTTCTCTGACAGCCATTGACCTGCCGGCTCTGAGGCTCCACCTGTCCACTGTTATTACCAGCAACAAGGACCGCTGGAAAGAGCTGTCAGTGCATGGTATTTACACACACACACACACACACACACACACACACACACACACACACACACACACACACACACACACACACACGCACACGCGCACACACACACTCTCTCTCTCTCTCTCTCTCTCTCTCTCTCTCTCTCTCTCTCTCTCTCTCTGGGTGTGGATGGCTGGGAACGTTCTACAGCTGAATCAAGACTCAGATCCTCATCTGTGTCCCAGACAAGCTGCTTCCCAAAGTTACACTCTCCCTAAAGCCTCTTTAAGAAAACCATTCCTCCAGTTTGCCGCCATGCTGAGCCGGCATGCATCAGGGAGTCTTGGGTCATTCATAGATGTTCAGACCGTGGCGGTATAAGGGGGTTATGGGGGTCTCTGTGCTTGGGTTTAACTTGGACATAACTTGCATTTTATTGCGATCAAAGCCACACTCATTAGGTTTTTTTGTATCAAGTCACTCCTAAAAAGTGTCTGTCCTCCATGGCCCTCATGCAGTCTCTGGTGATCTGACCTCCAGCTCTAACGGATAAAAGCTACAGGATGTCTGCATCACTCCAGTTTATCATCTCAGAATCAGAAGGTTTTATTGCCACGTGTGAGAACCACAGCACTAGGAAGTTGCTGCGGTACTTGGTGCAAAAAAGGAAGATAAAAATAAAAGATGAGAAAAAATAGGAAGTAAGAGTATAATCATGATAAAATAATAACATTAAGTGGCGATACTTAGAGAAACTGCTGCTGTGTAGGTACTAATCAGAGCGGATCAGTTCAGGTACAAACACAACACAGGGTCATGTGACTGGAACCAAGCGACTGGAGTGGGCAGCCCTAGGACTGTCGTCCAACAGCAGAGGAGAAGAAACTGTTCTTGTGGTGAGAAGTTCTGGTCCAAATGGATCTGAGCCTCCTGCCAGATAGAAGCGAGTCAAAAAGACCGTGTCCAGGGTGACACGGGTCAGCTGTTATCTGACCTGCACTCCTCCATGTCCTGGAGGTGTACAGGTCCTGTATGGAGGGGAGTTTGCAGCCAATGACCTTCTCAGCAACACGCTGCAGCTTCTTCTCGTCCCTGGTGGTAGCTCCAGCGTACCACACAGTGACTGAAGAGGTGAAGATGACTCGATGACTGTGGTGTAGAACTGCTTCATCGACTGTACTGATCGGTATAATTTCTTCAGCTGCCTCAGGAAGTACTGTACATCCTCTGCTGGGTCTTTTTATAATGGAGGTGATGGTGGGCTCCCACTTGAGGTCCTGGGTGATGGTGGTGTCCAGGAGGCGACATGAGTCCACCATCGTGATGGGACTGTCAGACAGGGTTATGGGAGGAGGGGGGCTGTGTGCTTCCTAAAGTCCACAACAACCTCCGCTGTCTTCTGGGTGTTTAGCACCAGGTTGTTGTGGCTGAACCAGGACACCAGCCGTTCCACCTCCATTCTGTAGGCCAGTGGTACTCACTTTAGGTCCTGGAGAGCCGGTATCCAGCATGTTTTCTTTGTTTCTCTAGCCCAACACACCCAATTTAGTGGCTGAGTCACCTGTGCAGCAGCTCTTCAGGCTCTTCAGAAGCCTGTTAATCACCTGCTGATTGAAATCAGGTGTGAGGAAGCTGAGGTAAGACTAAAACAAGCTGGATACCGGCTCTCCAAGACCAGGAGTGAGTACCACCGCTGTAGGCAGACTCATCCCCATCAGAGATGAGTCCGATGACGGTGGTGTCGTCTGCAAACTAGATAAGCTTAACAGACTCGTGGTTGGAGGTGCTTTCGTTGGTGTACAGAGAGAAGAGCAGAGGGGAGAGGACACAGCCCTGAGGGTAACTGCTGCTGATGGTCTGTGGGTCTGAGATATTCTTCCCCAATCTGACTTGCTGCTTCCTGTCCATCAGGAAGTCAGTGATCCACCGGTAGATGGGGTCAGGCATGTTCATGAGGGACAGCTTGTCTGGGAGGATTGTTTGTTTGTTTGTTTGTTTGTTTATTAAGATCCCCATTAGCCACTGTTAAAACAGTTGCTATTCTTCCTGGGGACATGACTTCATCCAAAAAATACATTATTCATGCATCAACACTGGGCTCACAAACAAACAATCCATTTCACCGTACAATATAAATCTCCACTATAAGAGCACACCACATTCCACCCAATACAGCACCAAAATAACATACATTTCCCGTAACATAAAACGCAAATTACTCCACACATACTGGACAACAAAACATAAAATCAAAAAATCATAAAACTCATCTTCCTCACACTCATGTAAAAAGGATAAATAAATATCCGCAACCTCCTACAAAAATCACTCCTTTGTAGCTGACCCCTCAAGAATTGTGGTAAACTATTCCATTCCACCGTAGCTCTATACAATACTGACCTATGTAGAAAATTAGTTCGACTAACTAGTTCGTAGCATGTTGGTTAACATCTCTAAAAAATGTCAACTGATTTAAAAAAATGTCTGGTGTCTGTGTATTTATAACATTCCTAATAAATTTTATAAGTACTTTATTCTACTCTTTACACCCATCCATGCTAGAGCAGTATGCATGTCCTCACAACTCCTTCTAAAACACAGTTTGACTAATCTAGCAGCCTTATTTTGTGCGACCTGTAACTTATTTAAATTCGCTTCCGTAGTAGCAGCCCAAATTACTGCACAATAGTCGAAGTGACACAAAACAAGAGCTTCAACTAATACTTTTCTACTTAAATATGGAATACATTTTCTACCATTCCTCACCATTGCCATGTTCTTTCCCATTTTGATTCAAATCTGTTTCACTTGACTATTCCAACTTAGCGTTTCATCAGTTGTTAAACCCAGAAACCTAACTTCTCTAACCTGCTCTATTGGCATTTCCCTTATACATAAATTCAATACAGGTTCTCTCAACAAATGAGGTGATCCCATCACCATACATTTAGTCCTCTCCACATTAATAGCTTACTTATTTTCATTAATCCACCGTTCTGCTAACCTCAGTTCCTTTTCCAAAATAGAATTTAATTCCTCCAGATTCCTTTCCGCTACATATAAAGTCAAATCATCCGCATATAATACAATCGTGGCACATTCTAACATAAATGGAAGGTCACTAGTAAAAATTGAAAATAACAATGTTCCAAGAAAAGAAGATTCTTCCTTCGAGAATAACTGCCATTAAACAATACCATAAACCCCCTTCCAGTTAAGTAACTTTCCACCCATTTAATAGCTGATTCATGATAACCATATAACGATAATTTCATCAATAATAGATTATGATCCACTAGATCAAATGCCACACTCATATCCAATAATACCATCCTAGTTAGTTTTCTATTATCCATATTAGTCATCCAATCATTAGTCATCTGTGCTAGTGCCGTGATTGTGTTGAATGCAGAGCTGAAGTCCACGTACAGGATCCTGGCATAGGTACCTGGGGAGTCTAGATGCTGCAGGATGAAGCGTAGACCCATGTTGATGGCATCATCTACAGACCTGTTGGCTCTGTAGAAAAACAGCAGGGGGTCCAGGAAGAGGGCTGTGTGGGTCTTGAGGTCGGGAGAACCAGGTGCTCAAATTACTTCATGACCACAGATGTCAGAGCTACAGGAGTGTAGTTACCGAGTCCAGTGACCCTTGGTTTCTTGGGGACAGGGACTATGGTGAAGATCTTGAAGGAGGCGGGCTCATGAGATGCCTCCAGTGTCCGTAAAGACTGGGACCAGATCTTCAGCACGGTGCTTTAGAGTGGCAGGAGATATACCATCAGGGGCCGGGGCTTGTTGTGCATTTAGTCGAACTGCTTCCTCACATCTGCCTCACAGATGTGCAGGGGCCCATTGGAATGTGGAGGAATGTTGGGGACCTTGAAAATTCTGTTATTTAGGTTGGCCTCATTTTGTTTGCCTCTTTAGCCTTTTAGCCCTGGTAGAAAATGACTCACAAGCCCTCTTTACAAGACACACTGTGCCGGCAAATCAGCGTAACATTACTGCAACAGTGCGATTTATAAACAAGCCATGCCAACATCGCGTTGTGCAAATTTTGCTGCATTTGTTGCACCTCGCTTGGTAGTACTTGTTGTGGTTATTAGCCAACAAATAATTTGTAAGCTTTACTTACTCTTTGGATTCATCAATAAAATTCATAAATATGGAAATATTTACCGATTTATTACGTAATTAGGATATCCGTGGGTATGCCTCGGGGCACCACCCCTTCTTACAGGGGAAAAATGAATCCAAACCTCTATCAATCTGTCTAAAGTTCGTAAGATTCTTTTAACGAGCAGCGGTCATATTCTATCCAACACAGACAAATTCACTTGAGACAAAACTTAATTGGCAATAACATTTATTGACTAATATAATCACCTTAGCTCCTTCAAAGCGCTAGCCAATCAATATCAACCAACTGATTTTATCAAACAAACAACAAGCAATGAAACCATGGAATGATAATGTGAAGTAACAATCTAATCAGACCGGTGGGGTGAGATGTTGATGTGATCAGGCAATGGTGAGGCTGCTTGATGTTGTAAACAGGCAGAGATTGGCTGATTACCAAACTGGAGGGAGTTTTGAAAACAAAATGGCGGATCCTTTGTTTGGCTGACCAAAGGATCGAACTGTGTGTGTGTGTGTGTGTAATTTAGCTTGTCTTCCCAAACACGCACAATCAGTGGCGGTGTGAGCAAACGTTCACAGTAAACTTAATCAAAGGTCTGGACAATCAGACAGGAAGTGGTCCAACCAAAAACAGCGGCAGGCAGGTCGGAGCAATGGAAGGTTTAAGGAGCGCCGCCCGCAGGTAGGTCCCGAACACGAGACCGCGGGTGGGTCTCTGACCAAAGCCGAACTCCAGCACGAGTTTCCTTAACTAGTTTACATTTTTGATCTGATTTAATGTACAGGTCAACCCCACCACCTCTTTTATTTTTTCTATTTACAAAATAAAGTTCATACCCTTCCATTTGTACTTCATCCATCATATCATCTTTGAGCCAAGTCTCTGTTATGG